AGATGATATTAGCTCACTAGCTCATATGAACATATGAGCCCAACGTCCCAGATTAAATTTGGGCCGATCTGACGATCACAGATGTCGGGTAGTGTTTGAATTTTAGTTTTTTTTTCTACATATCCAAATTACTTGAAATTTTAGGTATGTGTTCTTCTCATCAAGGCGCATCTAATCAAAATATAAAAAAAATTATTCGAGAATTTTTTTTGACCAAAATACCCTTTGAAATTTTTTGAGGGTATTTTGGTCAATTTATTTTATGTAAAATATTTTTTTGATATTTTTCGAAGATTCACCCATTTTTTATGAATACTAAAATTTTAAGTTATTTGGATTTGTAGAAAAAAAACGAAAATTCAAACACTACAGGACATCCGTGATAGTCAGATCGGCCCAGAATCAATCTGGGACGTTGGGCTCATATATTCATATGCGCTAGTGGGCTAATCCCATCTTTTCCTATATATATATATATATATTAACCCTTTGTTCAATTAGCTGGTATTCTGTAACCACCGTTGAATTCTGGTTGTGTGGTGCATGGCCAAATATGTTTCTGGCTGATGTGCTTATTTACACATATTTTTGCAGTTAGCTTGTATTCTCTAATAACCGTTAAGTTCTGATTGTATGGTACTTGACGATTCTTCTGATGGAGAAGCCCCTTCAAACTGTCCTCCTGAGGCGGCATTTCCTCCCCCAAGGCAAAACCCTCACTACCGCGACTGCGGTTGTGTTTCAAAACCACTATAGTGTAGTGAGGAACGAATAAAAACAGTGTTTCTACGAAACTCAACAAATCTTGCAGTTAGAAAAGGAATAACTAAAAAAGGTGCCACATATGTTTCTGGGTAATGTGTCTATTTACACATATTTTTACAAGAAAATTTCAGGGAGAGTTCTCTGCATCTTTGCCCCAAGCGAAAGCTTTAAGGAAATAGTTTCTTTGAAATGGTTCGTGGAAATGGAAGTTAATGACTAGTTCTTGAAAGCCTTTTGTTTTCTAGGATTGGCTGTCCTCCTTACTAAGGATTTTATTTTGATTCTGGGATCATGAAGTTATGATGTTTCTTAGGGTTATGTTTGGTGTTGCAGCAAATGTTTTCCATCGCGACCTTAAACCAAAGAATATATTAGCAAATTCTGATTGCAAACTCAAAATCTGCGACTTTGGCCTTGCAAGGTTTGCCTTCAATGATACCCCGACAGCCATATTCTGGACGGTATGTTTATTATCACGAAATCTATTATGTACATTGTAGTTTCTCTTGGGGCATAATTTTAGTTGTTTTGAGGCTACATCCATAAATTTAAGCACTGTAAAATGTTATGTTATTTGGTTTCTAAGTGCCACTGTTTTCTAAATAATTGATCATAATTTTATGCTTATAGGACTATGTTGCAACGAGATGGTACAGAGCTCCGGAATTGTGCGGTTCCTTCTTCTCAAAGGTGCGCATTTACTCCTCTTTTTAATTCGGTGAAGATACCTATCTCCCTTTGTAGTCATTTTTTGTATCTTTTGTTTGTGCTATTCAGAATCTGGGAATTGAAATGTAAATATTAGAACATAATGAAAAGTTTTATATTTTTGATGTAATTTTTTGCAGTACACCCCAGCAATAGATATTTGGAGCATTGGTTGCATATTTGCTGAAATTTTAACTGGAAAGCCACTCTTTCCAGGGAAAAATGTGGTTCACCAACTGGATATAATGACTGATTTGTTAGGAACGCCTTCCGCAGAAGCCATTGCAAGGGTTCGATCCCATCATTTAGAAAACTCATATTCCAATAATCCAAATTAATTTAGGATTGCCTTCTCTGATGTCACCCTTAAAGGTTACTGCTTAGAAAGTTTTAGTTAATGTATGTGCAATGTGGGTTTTCTTCATGCAGGTTCGCAATGAGAAGGCTCGGAGATACTTAGGCAGCATGCGTAAGAAAAAACCTGTACCTTTCACGCAAAAATTTCCAAATGTGGATCCTTTTGCTCTCCGTTTATTGGAAAGGATGCTTGCATTTGAACCTAAAGATCGGCCAACTGCTGAAAAGGTACACTCATCTTTCTCCCACTGGTCAGGTATGCATCTATGTTCTTAGAATAAATTTCTTTGACTGGTAGTATCGATACCCTATAAATTGGCCCAAGACCCATTCTCCATGGATCCCTTGCATATGATTTCTGCTTGCTCATATTTTCTTTTTTCTTTTCGTTTTTTAAATAATGTATCGTTCTTTTACATTTGGAGATCTCTCTCTCTCAGTTTTCCTTATCGATTCCCATTCATTTTCTCTTTTTGGTTTGCTTTTACATGCAATGAGCCTCCCATGAAGAAACTTTTGCCAGCCTCCTTTTCTTTCCCATCGCGACATTCATCTAACAATGGAATCTGCTGCTGATGTTGCAGGCTTTGGCCGATCCCTACTTCAGGGGCCTGGCAAGGGTTGACAGGGAGCATTCTACCCAACCACTGACAAAGATGGAATTCGAATTCGAGAGGAGGAGGTTAACAAAAGAGGATATAAGGGAGCTCATATATAGAGAAATTCTTGAGTACCATCCAAAGATGCTGAAAGAATTCCTGGACGGAACTGATTCTACTGGGTTTATGTACCCAAGGTAGCTTATCCAAGCACTAGTCCTAGACCCCAAAATACGAAGGGAAATTTATCCAAGTACCCATTATAGGTCAACTATTTAACATTCTACCCACGTCCTTGATTTGATTCAAACTACCTATCAAAAGATGCATGATCAAGAGTTGGAATAGTTGCAAATGGGAAAAATGTTGAATAGTTCATCTCTTATGGGTACTTTGATCAAAATGATCCATATAGCTCTTTTTTGTTGTAGTGCTCAACTCTCTAGTTTCTTACCTTGCAGTGCTGTTGATCAATTCAAGAAACAGTTCGCTTACCTAGAGGAGCACTTTGGAAATGGCGTGACAGTTGCCCCATTAGAGAGGCAACACGCATCGTTGCCTAGGTATTATCTATAACAATATTAAGTTCTCATTGCTTACTTCTTTTTTTCTTTTTTTTTTTTTTTTGTAGAGAGAGAGAATTGTTGTTTTTTTTTTTGCCCTTTTCTCTTTTACGTTGAGGATTGATCTGGCCATTAATGACTTCTTCACATGCAGGCCTTGTGTGTTATATTCAGAAGAAGCTACTCAAAATTCAGAGGTCCTTGCTGATTCCTCTAGGTGTGGCAATAGCGAGTCAAATAAGCCACCGTCAGATAAGATCGCTGGGATTGCAATGAGCAAGGTTCCCCTCCAAGTTCATCAGAAAGCTCTGCAAGGTAGAATTAGTATCCTATTCTCATGTCTCTTAACTAGTGTCATTGATAATTTCTAATTTCATGTGCTGAATAAAATTACAGATTACCAATAAAAAAAAGGGAAAAGAACAGTAAAGACAGAGTAGGATTTGAAGATCATTGGGTGATTAAATGAAGTTTGGAGCTTGGATTATTATATGATGATGCTGAATGATTGTTCTCGTTCCCTTAGATTTTTCTTTATTCTTCATGTACGATTTTTAGTTGTGTTTTTCTTTTGGGGTGGGGCTTGGTGGGGTTTTGGGCAAGGACATTGACCTTACATCTGTTGATTACACAGGCAGTGCTGCAAAGCCCGGAAAAGTAATCGGGTCAGTTTTGCATAATGGGAATGGGGTGGCATTGACAGAGGCCTATGAGCAGCGGAGAGTCATAAGACATCACCCAGCCATTGTCACTCAATACAATGCTTCTAATTGCTCGTACCCTCGTAGAAATTCAGCCATTAAAGGAGAAATAAGGGAAGAGGAGGCATCAAATGTTGTCCAACCAAAGCCCCAATATGTTGCTCGAAAAGTTGCATCTCAAGCTGGAGCTGGTCCTTGGTGCTAGTTTCTTGTGGGGCCCATCTATCAGCATGAATAGAACGTGTTGCTGGCTCAGCAACTGATGGACTATGAAAGGTGGAAACCATCATCCTCCATAGGCCATTGTTGTCATGATCGTCTGTTGAGATGATGGACGGTGATGGACACAAAATGGGCACCCACCATTTGGGTCATGTCCTGTTCTGGTGGTTCTCTCTCTCTCTCTCTCACACACGCACACACACATCATTCATGACCCCAATGGAACTATGGTTCATCAAGAATGGGTCCCCTCTATTCATATGCTGCTCTCCCAAATTTCTTACTATTATCGAGCGAAAAAAAAATTGCTAAATATATCTTCCTGTGATGACCTAGATGAGAAAGGTCACTGGAATAGTCACTACCTATCCATCTGTGTAGTTTGCTGATACATGAAAATGGATACACTGACCTGACCATAACTATGTGGCTTTTAATCCAAGAAAAAAAGAATTGAGTGGTGAGAATTGGGTTGAGAAAGACTTAAAAGAATGGAGGGAAGGAATGGGTAACTGAGAGAGGGTGGAAAACAGAGTTGGAAGAGGCATTGGAGGAGGATTATTAATGGTTGGTTTCATGTGAGGATTAAATATCAGTGTACTTAATATGTGATGGACTGCTGCTTTGGAAATATATTCATTTGACCATTACTTGTGTTCAAGTTACCCAATGGTACTACATTATGATTTTGGAGGCAATTTACAACACAATTTTTTGCTTGGGCTTTTTTGGTAACATCTAAAATTATTATCGTCAGAGCCATTTCCCAACTAATTGAGATGGGTTATTTGAATTTTAGTTCGTCATTCTGTTTTATTAATGGTCATACATTTAGTGAAGTCATAAGTCCCCATATCTTTAATATGAAATACCAATATATGGAATGGTTTATACTAAATAATAGTAAAATTGATTATTTACCAATTTCTTATTTGGAGGTGTGGTACCTCCTGATCATGGAGGTTTAGTATTTGCTTAGAGAACTCTCTCTCTCTCTCTGTCTCTCTCCATTCTTTATTTTGTACTCTATTGGAGGTGAATTATCACCTTATCATGGAAGTTTATTATTTGCTTAGATATCCCTCTCTCTCTGTTGTTGCACTGTTTTGCAGATGTATTATCACCTCAGCTTTGGAGGTTACGTTATTTGCTTAGAGAACCCTTTGCTCTCTCTCTAACTGATCCATTTGCATGATGAGTAAAAAACCATAAACACGAGTTGCAAACCTGTGAAGGTAACTGCTGACATTTTAGGATAGGAGCTGGGTCATGGTGGTAGCACCCTTCGTACTTAGTTATTACGTTGTGGTTTTCAATTCTACTGGTACCACCCATGATGCTTTTAAAGAAAGCTAACTTCCTAATCCAAATGAAAAAAAATAGGTAGGGGACTATCTTTCCCACTGAATCATCCAAAAAAAATATGCTAACATTATCAAATTACTGCTGGAACAAAATTCAACTCAAAGCGCTTTCTTTACAGCCAAATGTTCCCACGTTTTACTGGCCAAGCTTACTGCTAATACATTCCTTTCCTAGGAAAAAACCATTTTTGTTTTAACTGTACAAAATAAAGTTATATGAATAAAATCACATAATTATCAATTGCACTTTATTGCTTTTTGCGCAAAACCATCTATGATAGTTAATGAACTATAGTAGATGATCCATGAACTCCCTCTATGATACGATTTTTGAAAAATTGCTTTTATATTTTAAAGGGATTGCATACTGCAACAACACGTATTACGCATGATACAAGGAGGTCACAATGACCCTTAGTCATTATATGTGAAATCCATCAGCTTGTAGTGCATCAAAAATCTCTAAAGTTTATTTTTCACTTTGAGCTTGATCAATGCAGTTGTAGCCACCCAATTTTAGATCTAGCGGTCAAGGGTCCTGTCAAAGGTAAGTAGTCTAATTGAACCGTCTTTTTCAAAAAAAATTGTTTTAAAATGCAAGATTTTTAAAATAACTTAAAGGAACTCTTTTTAAAATATTTTTGAGAATGGATTCCGTGGTTAGTAAGTCAGGGTTGTGGATAGTTGTGTTCTAACACGGGTAGGGGGATCCTTTCCCAGAACTACCCCCACAAAAAAAAAAAGTATTTCATTAAATTTACCACATTTCAAGTAATGAAAAGTTTATATAAGGTAACAATCTTAAAATGTAGAATTACATATGCATATCAAAAATCTATTGAAAAATGTTGTTTTAAGGTTGAAAAAACCCTCCAATTAATCATCTCGACATCGAGATGTATGAATATGAAAAAATAAAGAAAAAAAGAAAAGATTTTGAGTCCTAGAAATAGTGCATCTTTCAACATATTATCTAGATCGCCCATTTTCAAGATTTTCATATGTTTATAGATCTAATTGATTTTAACCATTTTTTAAGTTTAAAATTTTATAATTAGTTATGAAAATAAAATTTCAAAATATCCTAATAATTTTTTCCATCAAAATTACATGTAGTGATAAACTTTGGAGATGCACCTTAATTGGATTGTTTAACGTTGCAACCTTATAGAAACCACTCCCTTCAAGTAATGTTTAAACTTTTCTCTATGATATTTTGTTGGGCTCATTATTATTGGTTTAGTTGTTGATCATTTATATTGTCAAGTAAATTTCTCTATTTTTAATAGGAAAATTATATAATGAGACTATTTATCTTTGGTACAAGAGGGTCACAATTAATTCTAACCATTAGATGTGAAATTGGATAGATGCATTTATTCTATTGACCAAGCTCAAACTTCAAAAGAAAATTCTCAAAGTTTGTTACACACCTAAGCTTTCAGATTTCACATCGGATGGTTATAAATACTTGTGACCTCTTTGTATCAAAGGTAAATTGTCTCATTGTATACAATCCCTTTCATGCAATAAATACGCTAAAGTATCAAACTTTTTACAAATATAATAAAAATTATTAAATAAATGCCACGCCCATCATATCCATTTAAATGTTACATTTGCTATTTTTCTTCAGTATTTTAAAACCAATATATAT